GATTTAACTTTATCCAAAGCCGTGGATGTTTGCAAATTGGCAGAATTGTCACGTGTTCAAGCGACCAACATAAAGACAGAAAATACGGAATATAATGTACATGAAATCAATAACGGATTACAAGGCATGAAACACAATGAAGCACTTATGTTGAACAGAATTAAAAATCGGAGGTCGGGAATGAAACACCAGGCAGGCGCTGATGGTAAAACAATTAACGAACGGAGGGATCGCAGATTTGAACGGGATTCGTACCAGCGTCTCGATCTTCGTAACCAATCATACTCTAGCGGACGGCAGCAAAGACATCGACACATGAATGTCAGAAAAAATGCTAACGGATGCGGAAAATGTGGTGGAGTTCATGGATGGAATAAATGCCCAGCGTTTGGGCACAGGTGTTACAACTGTAGTAAGATGAATCATTATTCGAGAATGTGCCGGGTGTACGCCATACAGGAGGCCTCCAGCGATCAGGTAACAAATCAAAATAATAATTGTTATAGTAGTTGGTCTGTAGAATTAAAAATAAATAACGTAAATATTATTTTTAAATTGGACACCGGGGCTGATGTTAATGTTTTACCTAGAATATATCTAAGAAAAATTAAAATATCAGAACATGAATTAGTGAAAACATCTATTAAATTACAGGGATACTCTGGTAGCAATATTGCAGTGATAGGAAAGTGTTATAATTCGAGTAATTCGTGTAAAAATTCGAGGATCCTCATATTTATTTACCAATGGCAGTAATTTAGATACTATATAACACTTGTTTGTTGAGGTTTCATAAAGGTGACCTTATATACTCTATACCACATTCAATTCTCTTTTATTGAATTACAATAAGTAGGTATTTAATTTTTTAATAGACGTACAATGTCCCTAATATAATTAATTGCAATAATTACCATGCGGACCGCGTGCAGGTAGACATAATAGAGTACACTTGTATCAGATCAATCTAATTAATATTTCCCTCTTCTAAGCTTCGAAGTTATGAGCGAACAGATAAATATACTTACATACCAGTCAAAATCATAACATTGTATTTTACTTTGCCGTTTCGTCGAGTAAAAATTATACATTGCAATTTGTTCCACAAATAAGAGTATAATACAAAATAATGAAATTTTACTGTTTGCAAAGACTCATTAAAAGCATCATCGAATAATGTGCTGTAATAAAATCCTGTTATCGATTATTCGAAAAAATCGATAAATACATGTATTTATTTTTAATATGGCAACACTTCCTACATAGGTATTATTGGAAATAATAGTGCTTGCTTGTTCGCCTATTTTTAATTTACTTAACTTTTTTATATGTTTAATTTCCAATAATAATATTAAGTGCTCATTATTGAAAAATATAAAAGAAACATTTAATTAGGGCGATACAAATGAAAACAATAAAAACATTAGGCCCCGTATTAGCAATAAGTAAATATATGAAATAACAAAATGTATAAATATATGAACGCATTTTATTACGCATTATTTCATTTTAACATGTATATATAACATTTTAAAAATAGATTAAACATTTTTAGAAAACACAATTTTGTGTTTTAAACGTTTGCAAAACTATGAAGAATTCCATCGACACCAATCACGCCATCTATATGCAATTTTTAGAAATAATTATCGCCACTATCGCAGAAGTGCCACTGCTAATATTATAAATGCGAAAGTAACTCTGTCTATCAAGTTTTCACGCCAAAACTACTGAAAATATTTAAATGAAATTTAGTACACAGATAGTCTAGGCCCCGAGAAAGGACATAGGCTACTTTTTATAGCGAAAAAAGGGTTGTAAGGCGTTGAAAGGGGAACGATTCTCCCATTTTAACGCCTTACAACCATTTTTCGTAAAAAAAGTAGCATATGTCCTTTCTAGGGGTAATTTTTAAAGTAGAAGCTAGAAACTTGTTTCAATAAACAGTTTTATTAAATATAAATAAATGTGATATTCAAGGTTTGTAAAAATATTACAGGGGTAAAATTAAATTGGGGATAAAAGTTATTACGGATATTCGTCATTTTCTATGATAGAACGATGACACTTCTTTCTTTAAGTGAAATTATTGAATATTTATTCTTTATTTGATCAAGGTTACTATACTATACTATCACGCAAACATCGCGGGCTAAGCTAGTACAAATATAGTTATGAGAAACGTGCTTGATTGTGATAATCTGCAACGGGATTAAACCTGCGTCGGGCTGCAAATACATACGAGCATTAGTGCATCAACGACGAACTCTACCGCTCATGCGCAAAAAAGCCTTTATAAGGATTGTGACTGTCCACCGGCCGACAATTCGTAACACATTCCAAATAAACTGATACGCTTCTGCTCAATCAATTGAAAAGTTAATTGAAATATACAAGTACTATCAATCAATTGTATAAAAGTTAAATTAGAAAATATTTGGTATTAAAAAAATATAGAGAATTTCATCAAAATCAGACATTTGTGGAAGATTTACCGTTAAATCGTTACGGGAGCAGTGAGAATGCAAAACCAGAGAGACCATCACGTCAAAAACAGCTCAGCTATGGAAAATATGTTAGAACGAACAACTACTCGGCGAAGTGGACGAACGCGGAACGTATTCAACGGAACTGAAGACTCTCAACCAAGGAGCAACGATAATGTTTCAGTTGATCAAAGTCCATCGGCTGATCAATCTAGTAACTCATCCTGCGAGTACAGTAACGATACAGAGCCCAGACGTCGCCGGTCCACTATATTACTGAGGAGTTTACTCCAAACCTTGACAATAACAACGCGTTCCCAACCTTGTTCGTCCGTGAAAAAACCTCACCAGCCAAAGAAGTCAAAGCCAGTATGTATACTCAGACCTCCGATCGCATACGCCTATGAGCGTGGTCCGTCTGGTCTTCCAACGCAAAGAGTACCACGTTACCTGGTCAGTTGCTCACCCGCATGCCTTCACAGCTAGAGGGAATGTTATTAATATATTATAGCATAACTTAAGATGGAATATTAAACGAAAATGAATACTGGTTAAGAATTATGAGACTAACATGCGTTAGAATTTGAAGTTGCTTTCATTCGTCATAGAGTTACAAGTGCTGAAATCGAGACAAGTGTACTGATTTAAAAAAACGTGTGCGGTGATGGCGGCTGCTGGCTGCCAACGGCGTGTCTAATTGCAGCTGTCTCTTCACGCGCAGCTGTGAACTGTTAACGGCTTAATTCAATGAACCAATATAATACTACTCGTATACCGATGGGACTATTGTTGTGTTGCATTTATGCGTTAAAATATATATTCGTCAACACACATACACATTACACATCTTAAGAAATTATTTATAAAGGCACTATTGAAATTACACATAGTGTATATGTATATATTAACTGTACCGTTTCTAGAATTAGCATGCGCGAACGCACAATCATACAGAAACATTTTTAACCTTAGTGAGATAACTAATAACGGTATAAAATAAATTTATTTATGAAAAAAAACGGAATAAATGTTATTTGATATACATATTAATTGTTGGGATTACAGAAGTATGTTTGACGACATAATACGCAAATACAAATATTAATTTTATTCAAGTTCATCAAGCTTAGTGCCTTTCGAAATTTGTAAATACTATATATATGCATCGTATATACATACAATAAATAATTATATAACTTGTCACGCTTGAGCTAAAGTCATGTTTTGTGATATTGTAATTTAGTAAGTATATTAGTGAAATATACTTACTAAATTACTAATTAACCACTTAGATTTTTTAGATATAGTAATATTAGTATCAGTACTTTAAAGTATTTAAGTATCTACATATTACTTTTACAACTAATACTTTTATACAATTAATAAAAATATGGAACTAAAATGTATCGTTATTGACATATACCTATTTTAAAATACACAGTAGATAGAATCAGGAGCAATTGTCACATATTTAGATACTTTGGTATTTAATGACAATAACAAATGTATTCAATACTCGACAATATTTGTAAATATTAATAATGTTACTGAAAAAAGGTAGGTACTAATTTGTATTCGGGTTATTTTTCTAAACTATACGTGTTCTACAACTCTTTTTGATGTACACGTATACGATATCCATCACACGGTACCGTTCATGCATGCAACATGTGCGTGCGTGCTTGTATGCAGTAGTAATTTCTCTGCCATATCACATTTCAAATCAAAATACAAAACACAAAGACAACTGTTCTACCGCTGAAATATGTACGACAGACTTCAGAGAACTTTCTGCTGACTTTCATACAAAAGACGTATAAATTTATGGATTTCACGGGGTTATTCGGAAAGTCGCCATCTGGTATTTAATATGAAACACGAATGCAATTGCGCCACATACAACTTAGTCGGGTCTATGAATACCATGGCGACTATATGGTATTAATTATAATATTTATTATCATATTAACACGTATGTCACACACACATATGTGTAATTAATAATAAATTAATATTGTTTGTATTTTATATTATCTGTTTTAAATATATACATTGTGTTATAGTCTTACTGTGAAACATAAGTATAATTAAAATTAATTATGGTAGATCTAATTATTTGATGCTAATTATTAATATTGAGCGACCTAGTAATAATAATTGTCTCACATTGTTCGTTATTTATTAGAGCTGTACAAAAATTGGTCTGGTATTGTGGCCTATCGTAAATCGTTTTTAAATAGCTAATATAAATGACTCGTCATAATATAAGTGAAGTTACCGCGAATTTCCCTTACCATAAGTACCCGATATCTGGAAAATGGGCATTTGGTTAAACCCGCTTTAACCAGATGGCCATTTTCCAGATATCGGGCATACGATCCATAGTAGATACCAATACTGTCCATTCAAACCCATGTTATTCATTATCAAAAAATACTACATGTATTTTTTACTATCCTGTTTGCGAGGAGAAATAAATGAATTATTATAATAAAAATATATAAATAAACTAACCTACAACCCTCTCGACTGCATACTCTAGATCGGTCGCTCTCACAATATTCTGTTTGAACCTGGCCGCGTGCAGAGCGGCTTCATTGCAGACGTTCGCAATATCTGCCCCGCTGAACCCCGGAGTCAGATACGCCAACCTTATAATAGAATAGCACTGTTTTAGAATTATCTCACAGAAAATTTGAGTGATTGTGGGCTCATTCGTTGTCCTCGTGAACAGATGCTGCTTATAAGTCACTGCTCTCTTCCCATCTCTACCACTGATTATTGATGTAACTATTAATAATAATAATATTCCTGGACAATGCACACAGCGCCATCTAGTCCCAATCTAAACAGTGCTCGTATTATGAGTACTACTAGACACCAGATATAAAAACTAAGATACATTTACTTTCGTAAAAAAATACATTTTGTAAACATAGAAAACACCCAGTCCGATATAACCAATCATACTAATTAATACAAATATCTGTAGAGTGTGCGGAAACGGACCAGCGAACATCGGAAGTAAAACATTTATTTTTAAAATATAATGCAGTCCATGTCACTTGTGTATACTAAAAAGAAATAAAACCTTAGGTAATTTTTGAGTTACTTCAATACAAACAATAAATATAATTGTTTCTCTTCGTAATATTAATTTTGATACAGTACCTTTTGACATAGTAATCGGGTAATTTCTCGAGCACAATGTTCTTGAGGTGTCGTTCAAATATCTCCTCTCGCTCTATAAGGGTGGGCAGGTCAATGAGAATGTGCCTGTCGAACCGGCCCGGCCGCAGCAGCGCCTGTTAAAGCTCTGCTATCAGTGTTGTCATATGACTAGCTACTATTATTATTATTTCCTGCTAATGCCCTGTTTTAGCAGCTCATTGATGGCCTTTTTTAGGCTACTTGTTCTATAATAATTCCCGTTTTAATTAGATTGCCCGTCGAAGCGAATACTATGTAATTTTCTTTAACTGTATAAAAATATAGAAAATGAAATCATTGCAAAATAAATTGTACCGTGTGATAGTTCTGATGCATAGACTCTCACTCAATTCTGCGACAGGCAGTTTACTTCTCAAGCTGTGTTCCAATTCGAAGACTTGCAATGAATAGCAATGTATTAGTGCAATCACATGACGTGATGTCTGCGGCGTCGGTCATGGACATAGTCAACTTTTCCTAATTTCCATCCGGCGGATCGTCGAATGGCTTTTATTTTTTTTTCTCCAAAAAAATACAAAACATACCTTGTCGAGCACATCAGCTCTATTAGTGGAGGCTAGCACGACAACACCTTCTCTGCTCTTCATGCCGTCCATTTCAACCAGCAGTTGGTTAAGAGTCTGTTCTCCTTCTCCACCACCGGGACCGAAGTTCGCGGGCCCCGATGATCTCGCGCGTCCTACTGCGTCCATCTCGTCGATATATATGATGCATGGTGCTCTCGAACTGGCTTCTTTGAATAAATCCCTGTACAATAACATAAATTAAGTCTAAATAATCCTCGGTGGTCTATCAGTTTAGTTTACATCCTCACGATTCTTTGAAAGCTAGAAACATTTCTATTCATGAGTATGATTGTTTCCGTCTGGGTGATTTCTATGAATAATATATATGCATTTGCAAAATTATGTATCACATTTTATATAGTAAGTTTACCTGATAGTGTGCTTCATGGCTTATTAGAAATGGGTACACTCACATAAATATTACAAAACTAAGTACAATTAGACCGATTTCACTATGAAATCGGTCTATTAAAGATTACGAATTTTGAAATAAAAATAATTCGATGTAACGATTCGTTTACAATATTTTTATATTTACAACTAATTTGCGTACATTATGTTTATATATGTAGGCAGAACAATAACAATAAAGAATAAGAATAACGTAAAAGATAAAAAGGTTAGTAATAGAAGTATACAACAAACCTAACTCTAGCGGCACCCAATCCACCGATCATTTCGATGAACTCCGACCCGTTCATGGACAGGAACGGCACATTAGCTTCAGTGGCCACAGCTTTCGCCAGTAACGTTTTCCCACACCCCGGCGGACCCAGCAGTAACGCACCTTTCGGTACCTTGTTATTTTTTACAATAATTTGTATCATCAAATTTATTAAATACACTTTTACTGCTTTTTCTTTCTTGCTTTCGAAACGCATACACTTTTATGTATGTATTTACAAAAAAAAAACATAAGTATTTGTATCAGATATCTAGCAACCATGATATAACCTCTGTTTAGCTAACAGAATTGTCCTTAGATATTATTAATAATAACATGCTGCAGTCACCGCAAATAGCTACGCAGTATATCGTTAGCGTATCTGTGTAAAATAGATACTTTAATAGATCAGTCATGTAACAACAAAGTACAATATACTGAACAGGTCATTATCATCAGCTTTTTTAGGAATAGTTTTTTATTCTTCTTTTCCTTATTTATCTACGATCAGCCAATAAGCTTTTATCGGATTTAATTTGTTTCGTTATCTGTAGCTTTGAGTTCACACACATCCGATGACGTGATCCTCGATATACTTTTGTTGTGTTAAATCGTAACCAGACGTGACCGTTCAGCCTGAATACATAATCTCTGAAGTTCAAGAGAGGTTATCTCTACAGTTATAAAAAAAATACAGTATGATTACTAATTACCTTTGCGCCTAAACTTTTATAATGTTCCGGTCGCTTCAGGTAGTCAACGAACTCCATGACTTCAACCTTCGCCTCACGCAGACCAGCCACGTCTTCAAACTTTACGCCTTTGCCCTGTCCACTCATTGAGTCCACCAGGGTAAACTTAGCACGACCAAGTTGGCTCTAAAACACGACGTTAAAGTTGTAGTCTAGCCACTTCTATTCTACCACTCGTTAGGAGGAACACGCAAACACATCACAAGAAGAAAGAGCAAAAAACTTACGTGTTGCTATTTTCCATAAATGTTAATCTAATAATAAATGTAAATACATACACATGCACCCTTCCATTTATTTACATCTCCATGTAACATAGGTATAGTATATATATGATATAGTGTAAAGTCAGTCCCAATAAGCCATATTGTACAATATATATATATTCACTCGTATGCTCACTACCTAGATAATACGTGAAACAAAGTAGCGACATCTCATCACATCTTAATAATATTACAATTGCTAAAGTTTGTGAGCATGGATATTTGTTACGCAATCACGCAAAAACTACTGAATGGATTTTGATGAAACTTTACAGTAATATAGCTTATGCTTCAGAATAAAAGACAGGCTATATTTTTTATTGCTACTATATATATTAAAATTTAACGCGAGCGCAACTGTGGGCACGGCAAGTGATATATAACTATACAGTGCTGAGGTGTCTCTGTCCCCGTTAATAACTATCCTCTTCACCCTGCCAACACGATTACAACAAACGTGGAATATAGGATGTAAACTCACAATGCCACCAATGTTGATGTTCATTTTCATCGACTTTGTTGAATATAGGAAAGAAAGAATTACAGCAGCAATAAGCAGAGTAGTAAAAACTTTGCCGGCAACACTACCATTTCTGTCGTAGATCACTCGGACACCTGGAAATAAAAAATATATATAGACAACTTGAACGTAAACTAGTAAGCGGTAGAATCTCAACTAATTTTGGTTGATTCAGTACATTAGAGAGATATACCAGTGAAATTTAAGGGATAATTAGGCATGAGATTTAGTTTTCAGGAATGGTAATAATTGAGAGGTTACGCAATGTATTTCATAATGATCATGGCTCTTAAATTTTCATAATTTAAGAGCCATGATCATTATGTAATACATTGCGTAACCTTACATTGCGTAATGAATGAAGAAGATCTCAATTTCAGTCTCATCTGATGAGGGGGGAGGGGATAATGAGACCAGACAAACAGTTTACTGCTCCATGTATAAACTAATTGTTATAGTATCATAACAATTCTATTCCAAAAGATGTTTTAGACCTGTAGCATCGCAACCAACATACAACAGGCCTATTGGGCTCGCCCTTTATTTTCATAGTTTGCTACCTATGACTGTCAGAAACAACAATTAAAGGATATTTGTAGGAGCTATGGTTTTATATCTCCTCAGGATAATGTGTACCATCTAAATGAGTTTTCGTTGTTGCTAAAGTAACTACAGCAGTTAGACTGCAGACATACACATTACAATATGCAGGGTCAACATTACATGGGTGATCTGCCGAAACCACAATAATTATGCTAACGCAACCTCGTGACTCCGGCATTGGCGCTCATATGTACACCGTGTGGTTTTTAGTAGTTAAGATCTCACAAACAGGGAGTTTGTGATACGTTACGAGGAAAATTATGAAGGAATCTAAATGTACCTTCTTTGACACCTAAATTTTTTTCTATTTCTCGTAATTTCTCTTCGAAGCGATGAATATCCCCGACATTCATGTGGTAAACTCGATGTGTGGTCTGAAATGCCAACAGAACAAATCCTTAAGTATTTATAGCAATACTAGAATGTTCAAAACAAGAATATTTTTATAATAAAACTGACGAAACACAAGCAATCAACTTTATCATTATTAAAATAAATTAAATATATTTGTACTACTATGTACATTTAATAAAATTTAATGTTAACTATCTGACCGGACAGACTTCCTGTCTTAACTATGGATATTGACTCTGTGTATTGCATATAGTAGGCAAATATTAAAGAAAACTTAATAACCTTATTAACTTTTGATTGTTCTGCACAATTTACTTATTTTTATTTTTACTATTATAATAACCTTCTCCTGATAATAACAAACACAAAAAAAAATATGGATTCATTTTAATTTATTTACATATATTAAAATGAAGATTTTTAATAATGAAGAGTAGAGTATGCTAGCAGCAGTATTAGCAGTCAATTATGTTAGGATCCACATAGTCCCCCTGGAAAACATGATGATAAATTCAATATGATGTTGTAACTAATCTGACTAACATCAGTTTAACCTATTTCCACCGCCAATCAGTTTTATTTATATGCTGTTTTATAGGGTGCAATAGCAGGCAAAGCATTAGTGGTAACCTGTGTGTCACATGATAACATAATATCCTTAGTACTATTCATATATGTAGGCAACAGTTACCGCTTACCATCGGGTAGGGCATATTGTTTGCCATTGCAATTACGTAAAAAACCTAAAATTTAACAGTCTGAATAAATTTATTATCAAAAATTAATTCCTCAGTGTCATTATCTGATATAAGATATTATTCTGTTATTTTTTACCCGTTTCCCTTTAACAACAGCGCCTTCATGTAATATGATTGTGACCACTTCCATGTCAGGTCTAACAATCAACTCATCCACTTCACCTTTGGAGAGCATTGAGTATACAAATTCATTCCACGAAACATAGCGTATGAGCTGTAACATAAAAACTAAATCAGACATCTATATAAATTAGTTTTATAAAGCAGAATATGTTGTTGATTTGGTTGGATGAACTCGCAACTACAGGTTACAATTCCATGCATTGAACAATACTAGCTGAGATGTAAAAAGAGTGATAATAATATGACACAGACAAATATGTTTTAAACTAACAACCATGGAATTTATAAAATAAAATATAACTGAATAAAGTCAATTTTTAAGTACAATAATTTCAGTGTTGACTAGGTCTATTTGTGATACACAAGGAGTCATTTTTTTAAGGTAGTGAAATAACTTTGCACAAAACCACTAGTTGTTGGTTTACATTATAAACTATGTTTTGGTTTGAAAAGAGAGAAAAGTGAAATTAGATGGTACAAGTTTATGTCTATATATATATCACTATAAAACAAAATGATAACACACAAGTGTCATATGATCAAGTAAGAGCCCTGTTTACATACATAGGCAATAGTTGTTAGTTTCCCTCAATTTGGTTTTCAGGTTTTTAAGCCTACTAAGTATACAAATATAATAATTATATCAAGTTTATATCAAAACCGCTTTATTGTAATTATACATTTAAATACATAATATATGTTTACATTCCTTTACTGTATGTTAAAATTAAAATATATTCTAGCAATCCAGTCCAGTGGACTAAATTATATCATCTACATTATTTTATATTTTAAAGTATTCAGTTAATAAAATAAAAAATAATAGTGACAATAGAGATGGTATTGAATAGGCCATTTAAATAATACCAGATATGATGGATTAAAGAGTACACTGTAAAAATTAATATATCCTATGAATTGTTCTCTGAATCATCAATCCATTACAAATAGATTAGATCACAGGACTAGAATGATGTAGACCAGGCATGACTATTTAACTTAGCTATATTCTTATCAGTTAAGATTGTCAAATAAATACCTCATTCTGTGTGTTGTCCCCCGGAACTAACAGTGTACTTGCTATCACCAGTATGCATGTTGTGAGCATCCAAAAAGCTGCTTTCATAAGCAATGAAGGAACATTATTCTCAATGTCTTCTTTTTTCTTATCCTTTTTATCCTAAATAAACAATTCAAAGAGTTTTAAATAGCCATATATATAGATATAATATTATAACAAGATATAAATGAGCCTCAGTGGTCTAGCCATTTAACACAATGCTTTACTTCTTACGATTGTGTTTTATTTGTTATATTTCCAAAAAAATATATCTAAGCTTGGGAATTGTCTCACGATCAGTTATTACAATTATTATAACCAGATAACTAGATAAATGTAGTCTCAGGGTAAGAAGTCATATTCATGGTGAAACCAACGTTGACAGTGTTTCACATTTCACTAAGAACATTTTTTAATTCAACATATACCAAAATCATCATATCCCAGATGGAGCCATAGTTATTAAAAAAATAATTCAACTTAGAACTATATAAACCTCAGACCTATTCAATTAATTTTTGGTGTTTCAATCAATGAATTGGATATACTGAAATGATTGTCTTATTAAACATTTTCTTTTTGAGGTCTTAGTAGTAGTGAACTCGGTCAGCAATACACTGTCTATAGTGTCAAATGACATTACAGTTCAAACAATGAACTAAAGGAATAAAACACTATTTTTTAAAATACTGTTTTATATTAAGTTACAACAAAGAATATAAAATTAATTTATACCTTGTCTTTATCCTCATTTTGATTAGGTCTAGGTGAGCTTGTGTGGAGACTGCACTTTTGTAATTTGTTATTAGCAAAAATATCTATTTTCGGTAAATTTGATCTCTTCAACAATGTGCATACTGCTTTGTACTCAGCATTGAAGTGACGTAAATACTGTAATATATAACAAGTTTATTAATTAATTGGTGCACAATAGAATTTTTAAAATAAATACAAACATATGTTTGTGTCACTTTAAATTATGATATTAGATATTATATTATGGTACATAACATTAAACTTGTTTTACTGTCACATGATGGACCTGGAGTCCACATGATGAAACCATGATATGTTAAAAGATACATATACAAGACACAAGTCTAATATAGTTGAACTTTAGTATAAGACTGTACCATTAAGTATAGCTTTATACTAAAGTTCAACTATACTCTTGAAATCACTTTTGTAGATTGTATGGCTTGCATACATTGCACTGGTGAACCATTAGCATTATTTTCATAATGCATCAATAAGTCATTACCAAAGTGCTCATCTATTTGATTCACCATTCTGTTAATTTTCAATTACACATAAACTGTATATTTTACTCTGTAACTCTTTGACTTTTCAATTATTATTATACAATTAAATGAGCAGCGTAACAAAACTATACATAGACAATATTAGAATAAGACCTCAACACTAAGTTATTTATTTATCTAAATTGATTACTGAGAATTATAATAATGAGTACTTGAATAAATTCTAGTCATTTTCTTTAATAGATTTTTGGTTATAATGGATGATAATGGAGTATTGAATATTTGATTGGAGGAGTATCAAAATGTCAGGTTTGTAAGACCATCACAACAAAATTAACCTTTAAAATGACAAACCACATTAATTTTCAGAGAGATATGTGCAATTGTCATTGAACAGTTAAAGAAGTATGAAACTTTAGATATGTAGTTTGTATTGTGGCTGGTCATTTATATTCACACATTTCAACTGTAAAATGTTAATTTACGACATTAATTTAAAAAAGCAATGTAAGATTCTTTCTAGTTCTTGTTATGACGAGACAGCTTTCCGAATAAGCGGTAAATTAAAAAAATATATATGACTATTCAAAATCACTTCAATTTAAGTTTATTTGAATAAGGAATATTCTATGACAATTTACACTTATACTAGACCAAAAATACTTACCGGATTTTTTGACCGATATGTTATATTATGCAATACTGAGAAAGATCTACACAAATTTAACAATTTAGAATTGCACAATTTTTCAATACGTTTCTCATTACAGGAACTAAGCAAATCAAAATGTAATTTAGAATGTATCTTAGACGCCGACAACGTTGGTAATCTCTTTATGGATAACATTATACCACAGATAGTTACGTATAATTTATATAATTAATGAAGTAAATAAATGTCAACTAATTATATTAATTTATTTTCATAACAAAACTTTTAGGTTACTAATATAATTATATTTTGATTGCATTGCAGTGATAATTTCTAAAACTGAAACACAAAAGTCATTTTCTAGCCTGTGACAACATCAAATTACAATTCTTATGTCAATGTCATTTTTATTTGTCACTAGCTGCACCCGCGATTTCGTTGCGTGGAATTTAACTTTATTTTTCTAAAATAAAAGTATTTTCTGCAATAAAACTCCTGTCAAAATCGGTCCAGCCATTTCAGAGATTAGCTGGAACAAACAGACAGACCGACAAAAATTGTAAATTGTAAATTGGTTATGTATTGTAGTTATATTCCTATACATGTAGTAAAAAACGGTTATTTCAATATTACAAACAGACACTCAAATTTCATTTATACGCATAGATGTAACGGATTTGGATATAAGCGAAAAATAAGGAATAAAAATGTATCTGAAATTGAAATAATTGACCACTTGCAGTAACTGGCCATTAAGTTCTTTGTATGCATTGCCATATATCATTGTATACCTTTCCATTTATGATCTTTTTTGTTCCCAGTTCTAATAACGCCAAAATTGTTTATATTTTTCTACAGTCGATGAGCTTGTCTTGTCCAAAAAAGTCTATCTGTTAGGTAAAAATTAATGGAACTTGTTGTGGACTTCGAAATATATTGCTGGCCACAAAAAAAAAATGTAAAATTTTATGACAAGAAAATATATGATTTTAATATTTTATTAATATATTATCCGACACATAAACTGGCGACCGTGCAGTATAAGACAATATGCAGAGAGCTATAGAGGAGAGAAAATTGGCCCGAAGATTCTTTAGTAGCGCAGTAAGTAAATTAGAAGAATCTTTAGTTAAAAAGGATAAAGATCCTCCGATATCAATTTCGCTAATCTTACCGCCAAATATGAAAAGTTGTCTGCTATTAACAATAAAGTATTAGATATATGGATAGATTTGGTAGACAGAGACGAAAGCGAATATGAAGAGGATATTATATCAAATGAGAAGTATGATGATAAATGGTTTTTGATGCAAAAGAAATATAAAAATGCATTTGATATTACGAACAGTTGTAAAAGTAATATTGGAAGTGAAATTCAAGAGAGTTGCGCCCAGGATGCCGTTGTAAAAAATATCTTGCGGCTTCCTAAGCTTCAGCTTCCTCGTTATGATGGTGATGTGAAGAAGTGGATAGGCTTCTGGGGGATGTTCCAAAAGATCCATGAAGATTCCAGCATAGATAATAATATGAAGTTCCAGTACCTGCTGCAATCGATGGAACCAGGATCTCCTGCCGCAATACTAGTAGAAAGCTTTCCTCCTTTCAAGTGCTAATTATCAGAAAGCTCTAAAACAACTAAAAGAAAGATATGGTCGTGACGATCTTTTAATTGAAATATATGTTCTTGAGCTGTTGTCCCTAGTTCTGGATCAATCAAGAGTGAGTGCTACGCCAATTGGAGTATTATATGATAAACTTAAAACTCAATTGCATGCTTTAGATAGTTTGAATGTCACTACAGATAAATACGCGTCTATGTTACGTCCTTTAGTCGAGTCCGCTATGCCCATAGAACTGCTTTGTATTTGGGAACGAACTCAATCTGGTAAAAAGGATCAGTCTGATACTTTAAATAATCTTCTTAATTTCATTAAGCAAGAAGTAGAGAGCGAGGAACGTATTAAAATATATCATTTAGCTTATAGTCAGAGTAGTTCTTCAAAATTGGTAAGCGTGCTTGTTTTATTTGTTTAAAATCGGGACATATAACTAAAACTTGTAGGAAATTCCCGAAATGTATTATTTGTACAAAGAGGCATTATACTTTAATGTGCGATAATAATAAAATAGTTAATTCGTAAATTCAATGCAGTAATAGCTCTGAAACACAAGTTCTATCTAATCAGTCTTCTTTGATGCCTACTAATACAACTGTTTTATTACAAACTTTGAAAATTAATTTGTGATACAATAATAATGTACGAGCTCTGTTAGATTCGGGTGCTGAAGACTCTTATATAAAAAGTAGTATGGTAAATAATTTGAAAATTAAACCATGTGGTCAGGTACATATTTCACACAGTTTATTCGGCGGTGTAGTTACGAAACGGGAACCACATAATGTATTTCAATTTATTATTAAAGATCCTACTAATACATACGAATGTAACATTAAAGCAATAGAGAAAATTAATATTTGCAATGATTTACCTAAATTAAAACAACCTATTTTGTTGTCTAAATTAAAAAGACAGGGTGTTGTATTAAATGATATAGTTGATGATATAAATGAAGTGAGCATTTTGATAGGAGCCGATATTTTAGGTAGTTTGTTTACTGGGCGTCTGATAAATATATATGGTAATCTTGTTGCTATGGAAACTACGCTAGGTTGGACAATACAAGGCCCAATATCTAATATGTTTCATGTTGCTGAAAGTCTTGTTAGTTTATCTTGTACATTTAACTTAGAGGATCTATGGAGTTTAGAAACTATAGGTATTAAAGATGAACCGGAAGTTAGAAAACAGACAGAGAGAGAAAAAGAAGTATTACAATTCTTTAAAGATACGATATCCATTAATGAGGAAGATGGTATGAGGTAAAGTTGCCCTGGAAGGATATATCTATAAATTTACCCACAAATTACGACCTAGCCCTAAAACAATTAAAATCTACCACTATACGTTTGTCTCGTTTAGGTATTATGAAAGAGTATAATTAACAGTTTAAGGAGTGGTTAGATTTATCTATTATAGAAGTCGTTGATGAACCAGATTATAACTCAGGACACTATCTTGCTCACCATGCAGTAGTTCGCGAGTCTAGTCTCACTACAAAAATTCGGCCCGTGTTCGATGTTTCTGCATGTATTAATAAAGAAAGTTGAGTGTTTAGAAAAAGGTTCTAATTATATTGAATTAATTCCATCGTTTCTTATCAAATTTAGGCATAGTTCTATAGGAACAGTAGCTGATATTAAAAAAGCCTTTCTCCAAATATCAGTTAATGAAGAAGATCGCAATTGTTTGAAGTTTTTATGGTGGCGTGATATACATCAGGAAAAGAAGACTGTAGTCACTTATCGCCATAAAAGGGTTGTATTCGGCGTAACTACCAGTCCTTTTTTATTAATGGCTACAATTAATCATCATTTAGAAAAATATGAGTCAGATACTGCTAATAAACTTAAATCTAACTTTTATTGTGATAATTGTATAGTAAGTGTGGAAGATGAAGAAAGTATGAATAAATTTATAAATGAGGCAAAGGAAATTATGCATAAGGGTAAATTTGAACTAAGATGCTAGGGTAACGGGACCTATTTCAGTGACGTCTGTTTTAGGACTAAACTGGGACACACGGAACGATGAACTATTTTGCAAGGTTCCTTCTATGAATGAGAATAATATTATGACGAAAAGAACTTTATTATCTATCGCTCAGAGCATTTTCGACCCTATAGGCTTTATTAGTCCATGCACTATAGTTCCCAAAATACTCATACAAAAATGTTGGAAAATAGGTTTGGAATAAACCGCTAATAGGTTTAGGGGATAAACCGCTTCCTATGGAAATTCAACATGATTTGAAAAATTGGATAAAATATTTAAATCTTTTAACGGAATGCCGGATTCCTCGTAATTTGTTTCCGACTAGTATTGAATTTTGTTCAGTATCTTTACATATATTTTCAGATTCCAGTCTATCAGCTTATTCAGGTTGTGTCTTTTTACGAACAGAATTTGATCGCAGCGTGTATGTACAACTAGTCAGCAAAAAGCAGAGTTACACCTTCTAAGGCAGTGACTGTGCCTCGATCTGAGTTAATAGCTGCTGTTTTGGCTACTAGATTGGCAGTTGAAGCAAAAAAATCGATTAATTTGGAACGTTTGAAGGAATATTATTGGACAGACTCCAGTATTGTTTTAGGATGGATTAAAAGGAAATCTGGACTAAATATTTTTGTACATAACCGAGTTAAAGAAATTTTAGATAAGACGAATGTTGAAGACTGGCGTCATATTCCAGGACACCTTAATCCAGCAGACTTGCCCTCTCGTGGTTGTAATGCTCAAGTCCTTCTTAATAGTAGATGGTGGGAAGGACCTTCTTGGTTACGAAATAATATAGATGAATGGCCATGCTCTGTACCAGAACTAAACGAAGAAGAATATATTAAAGAAATAAAAGTTAATTGTTTAGTTACAGAAGAAGTGGTAATGTTTTCGGATAGACTTATCTATTTTTCTAAGTATATAAAAACAGTTCGTATGATAGGTTGGTGTATACGTTTTAAGAAAAATTGTTTAAAACAGTCTAGTACAAGAACAAAAGGAAACTTATCGAGTTGTGAATTTGAAAAGGCTGAAAAAAGGTTATTTGTTTTAATTCAAAATGAACATTTCAATGACATACAACCGACTATGAAATGTTTGAATATGGAATCAGTTAAATCGAACGAAGATGGAATCTTACGTGTCAAAATAAGACTTACACTACGAGACGACAGAGATACTTTTATATTTCCAATTTTACTTCCTGGATCAAATAAATTAGTTCAAAATCTGATTCGTCATAAACATATTGAGTTGTGTCACGCTGGTTCACAATTATTAATTAGAAATATTAGAGAATTTTATTGGGTCATGGGAATCAGACAAATATGTAAAAGGATTGTGCGTGAATGTGTTTTGGGAGCGCATGATTAAGACAATAAAAGAAATGTTACGAAGAATCTTAGGTAACGCTTGTCTAGACTTCACATCTCTCTTAACTATTTTGTGCGAGGTAGAATGTATCATCAATAACAGGCTATTGACGTACATTGCAGATGATACTGAAAATCTGAAACTACTTACGCCAGCAATGTTTCTACAGGATTTAAAACAGTATGATACTGTGGATTTAGATCAAGCTGACGCTCATACATTAAATACGAAAGTTACATATTTACAAAAATTACGCAAAGATTTTAAATCTAGATTCCGCAGCGAATATCTTTCATTGTTAAAGCAACTTGCGTCCAATAAATCACAAATTATTAAAGTAGGCGATATAGTAT